TCCACCACCTCCACCGCTTTTACCACCACCACCTCCACCGCCTTTGCCACCACCCATTTGGAAGTTCTTTAGAGGATATGCAAATACGAAAATTTCTTTTTGAATGACTATTATGGGACAAGAAGTGGTTGCACTTATAGATGGACTGAGACCCCAAATCTGTGGAAAAAAGAAAGAGGTTGGCGCACACGTTTCCCTGGTAGTGTTTGATTGATAGGAATAAGGTAAGTGGCAATTACCCTTTGATCAATTTTTCACTTAACTTTTTTCTTACCAATAAATTACAATAATATCCAATGACATAGTTGTTCATTCTTCATAGTGTAGACTAAAATCCCAAGAGATAGGGGCGGGTTGAAAATTTAAACGTTCTGAGTTTGAATTTTTGTAACTTTTTAAAATTAGGTCATGAGAGATTTTTCTTTCATGAATGTATTAGTCCTGACATGAATGATCGAACTTTGACTAGACCGGAGAGGGAATTAGTCGAGGTGCACATAAGTTAACCCAAACATCCTTGACCATTGAACCAAAAAAAAAAAAGAGATAGTGTAGACAAAGACGTTACAATTACTTTATCAAAAGGCAAAACTGATTTTTTTGACGTGTTATTTTGTTTTATGGTTGTATTCTACTCTTATTTGTACTTCTATTTAGGGGTTCTATTTTACATTTATGTTTAAAATTATTATTAATTCAAACTTCAGTATAATAGTGATATGAGACTTATAATAGTAATTAGACTTGTGATTCATTCATATTATCATGTAATAATCATATATGATACTTGTACTAATAATCAATCATTGAAGTTAAAAAATTACAACCATATCATTTGACTATTAGAGGGACGAAGCAAGATTTTGCATAGTGGGATCAAGAGCGGGGGCAAGAGCGGGAGGGGGAATGCAAAATTTCAAAAAATTCTCAAAGTGAGAGCATGTTGAGAACAACATATTATATACATAAAATAACAAATCTTTTAAGTTGGTGAATTTGTTAAGTTGAATTAGCAAATTCAATTATTTGAGTTCACAGATTTACAGCATATCTGCTCTTAATATATGAATTTGGGTTTAGAGCTTAAGAGTGTGGACAATATATGACAAAAAGTGCGACTCAACGATCAAGTGAACATAATAATCTAACTATTTAGATTAGAAAAAAAAACCAATAAAATTATTTTTATGGAAATGGCATTATTGTAAAGTGATTAAAAGGGTGAAAGAAAATGGTAAAGTCCATGGAGTGGAGGAGTTGATTGGAGAGGGAAAGAGAGTGTTGTAAAGAAATGGGAAGGACAATTAAAATGAGAAAAATAAAAGAAATGGTGACCCACACGCTATACCTAGGCATCTTTTGATTATCGAGAATAAAGTAAGAGACAAGGTAAAGAAAAAGTGAAATTTGTAGTTTGTTTAACACACCACCTCGCATTGTTAAGTGATGTAGATTACTAATAAGATATTGTACATTTTTAATGAATGACTTTCACGTATAAGATATCTTAGTATTGTAATAGTTTCTCAATGTGTAAATCAGTGGAGTGGATTAAGAGAGAGAGAGAGAGAGAGTAATTGGGAAGGAGGTAGGAAAAGAGAGAAGAAAAAGAATTTTATTTTTTGGGGTGAGGAGGAGGAATAAGTAGAATATTTTTTTATCGGCCAATTTGAGGTATTATTTCTACAATAATATACAAACTTGGGTAGAAAATCACAAGTAAATTTGTTTAATTATTAGAGAATATTTTCAATTACAATAGGTTTTTATATGATTATGAAAATAACAGAGGTCACAATTGGAATGACAGGGTAACTTTAGTTTGAGTAGACACAAATGCGGAAGACTTTACAAACCTAATTTGGACTCTTCCCTAATGAGAAGACTGTGGGAAAAAAAATTTGTACCATATTTTCAAATTTTAACAGGTATTTTTATAATTTTTATGAATCATTTTATAACTTTTGTAAGTGATTTATTATTTTTGTGAATTTTTTATAATTTTACTCACAAAAATTATAAATTACGATTTAGTATTAAAAGTTTCTTTTTCGGTACCGTAGACTACTCCCTTCCTCAATAATGAAGTAGAGTTTTTGAATGGAACTGTACGAAATTCTTTGAGTAAGAATAAACTTTATTGAAATGGAGGGCACGACGCTATCACCAAAAAAAGTATTTTGGTATCGAACTAAAAGATAAAAAAAGATTGTCGATAGGCTTCTCAAGTAATGATCGTCCTTAGATTACATTTGCTTTTACTTTTGGAGAAGGCTAACAAAAAATTCGATACTGTACTGAAAAACCAAAAAAGAGTGTTGATGGTCTTCTCAAGTAATTGTTATCCTTGGTTTACATTTGCTTTTTTACTTTCTGAGAATTGCAATGGAATAACCGGTGAATCCCTTTACAGATAACTATTCAAAGTAAGTTAGAATATATACCACCACCTTGGTTATAGTTACTACTATTTTGATAAATTTATAATGAGCAATGACTTATTTTCTTTGGTCAAAAACTAGAATTATTTACGACAATTTTAAACTTATTTACTAATTTACGACATTTTTTTAAAAGTTAAGTCAACAAATCCACTTTCATGTAAAAAGCAGAGTCAACAAATCTGCTTTTAAAAAGACTTAATCAAAATTTTAAAAAACTGATTTGTTGACTTCGTTTTCAAAAAATGCCGTAATAAGTGGTTGACTCCGTTTTCTACATAAAAATAAATTTATTAACTCAAATTTTAAAAACTATCGTAGAATAATAAATAAATTTTAAATTATCATAAATTAATAAATTTGTTGGTAAATAATTTCTAGATGATCATAAGATGTGACAACCTATTAGCCTGTGGCAGCATACGAGATTATGTCAGTATATGACATCATAAAGTTGGTAGTATTATTTTGATTTAAAAATTTGATTTAATTAATTAACATAATGATGTGGTTTTAGTAAAACCATTGGATCAACAACAAATTCTAATGTTTTGGTTAGTAGAGCCATTGGAACCATCGAATTTGCTCCTGAATTATGCAATATTTTGACTCCCAAAATATGCAAAAGACTTTATTTTTAATTAAGTTAAAGTTGGATATAAAATTATATATATGTACAGTAATAATTTACATTTTCAAGAGATGGGTAAAATTATAACAAAACATAGTATAAATGGAGGAGAAGACTTAATAAGAATAAATTGTTAAAGGAATGACTTAATTGTACTACTAGAAAAATGATAAGGCTTCATAATTTTTTTTTCGGGAAAAGTAAGACTAATTGATTATTTTTTCCTTAGTTATTTCGTAATGTGACTTAGTTTGTTTGCTAGATTATCAAACTCACTTCACTTATTTACCATTTAGTCAGCATTGGCTACATTATTTTACTTCCAGACTGAGTGGGCTTGGCACTGGACTTGGACTTACATCTCATGGAGACTCAAGCAATTCAGCCTCAGCATAGTGGAAGTTTTATTGAGCAGAAGTACTATTGGAAATTTAAGATTTTCAATGTAACTAAATTGAAGAATGTGGTCCATTCGGAGAAGTGTCGTACGCGCCGATCTCTCGGCACGTGTAACGGTTAAATTAGAATTCGCAAAGTCGGTAGGAGGAAGTCGAACTCACACCCAAGGCCTGAATACGTTTCGTCTAGCAATAGAGGCTCGTCCTACTAACCAAACTATGGTGATGTCCAGGAGGCTAGCCCTAAGGAGTTGTTAAGTTTTGAATTTAAGATGTCTGAATTTACAGCTCGTCCCTATCTCCACTTGAGCTAGCTTTGGGATTAAATTGAAGAATGTGACATCACATATATACATATCTTGTCTTTGGGCTAACCAAACATGATGTTTTGCAACCTTAAAAACCTCATCAGGTTTTTAGCTTAGTGGTTTGGGACTTCATCAGCTGATTCTTCTCATGGAACACCAGTGGGGTGTTGAGCAGTATAGCATGAGTGTTAAAAGGGAGAAACAACCATGCCCCAGCTGATTCCAAGTTTTTGTCGATCGAACTTCAAAATCAATTCAATTAGATCGTAGTTTGACTTGTTTGAAAAAAAACTTAATCTAGTCCTAGATCTGAGCATGGTATTTGAATACTATAGCAAAATCCTACATATAGCTAATAATTATACAACATGTTTAAGCCTAAACATATTATAGGCATCGTTAGCAAAATTTCGATCCAGATCTTAAGATTTTACGATTCATTATATGTAAATCAATCTGAGTCTATTGTAAAATCCAAATTCATAGGATATAACTGGATCGTGATCCAAATTTTATAGGATTGTAGGATCCTAATTCGAACTACGATTTTACTGATACAAGTTGTTAAGTGAATTTAATTGTTGAGCAACTAAATCCATATTTTTTGTTTTAATAGTTAAAGACTCGATGCAAATGTAAATATTTTATATAATTACGAGCCTATTAGGGAATTTCAACGAATGATAAAAACTACAAAAAATTGTTTCACTTACAATTCACTCTCTCTCTCCCTGTGAAAGTTGAAAACAACGGCTTGTTTTGATCTACTCTCTCAACGAGTGATCATAGCTAGACAATATGTCATTTTTATTCTTTTTCGTTTATTTTGTTTAGATGTCGAGTAGTCAATGTTATTATTCAATAGCGTTTCAAATTTTCAATGTCTCCTTTGTCTCCCTCCCGGTCTTCCCCTCTAAACTTTAAGATTAAAGCACTTCAACTCTCCTTTTACACTTTAACAAATTCTACAAGATTAACAACCTATCTTTGATTTTAAATCCTCTTCAATAACCATATTGAGTTTACCAAATTTCAAGCATATCTATGTTTGTCATGACATTTCTATTTACATATATACTAGGCTTGTTTAGGTCTTGTTTTTTAAACTTTTGTATTGTTACATATATTTTAATCCCATTTTTTCAATTAATAGGATGTTACGATTTTCAATCCGATCCTAAGATCTTGATCCTATAGCCTCCCCCATCGATTCAAAATAGGATCCCAATTTTAAAAATCTTGATTATAGGTATGAGCTATAAAAGCATACTCCATTATTTCATACAATATTATACAACAAAAGCATTATACAACAGAAACATAGAGCAAACTCTTACATAGATACACATACTAGTGAAGAACATCACACAAACTTATTTTTTTCCCTTTTGACCAGCATGCAGACCAGCAAAGTATATCTGAGGGTTGCTCTGGAAGCCAGCTCTTGAGATAAATGATGATCCTCCCCCACCAGGAGCCTTCATCATTCCAGACCCACCGCCGCCACTGCCCTTTGAAGAGCTACTGCCACCACCTGGTGCTCCACCACCTCCGCCGCTTTTACCACCACCACCTCCACCGCCTTTGCCACCACCCATTTGGAAGTTGTTTAGAGGATATGCAATCGCTAAAATTTCTTTATGAATGACCACTATGGGACAAGAAATGGTTGCATTTATAGAGGGACTGAGACCCCACATCTGTGGAAAAAAAAAAAAAAAGAAGAGGTTGGCCCACAGGTTTGCCCTGTAGTGTTTGATTGATGGGAATAAGGTAAGTGGCAATTATCCTTTGATCAATTATACTTTAATAATATATTTATTTATATTAGAAAAAACCAATAAAATTGTTTTTACGGAAGTAACATTACAGTAAAGTGGATAAAAGGAATTGAGAAAATGGTGAAGTCCATGCATGGAGTGAGGAAGTTTAATTGGAGAGAGAAAAAGAGTGTGGTAAAGAAGTGGGACGGACAATTAAAAGGAGAAAAATAAAAGAAAGGGTGGTCCACACGTTTTACCTTTTTTTTGTTTTTATTTTTTGCTTGTGAAAAAAGAGACGGGACAAAAGAGAGAGTTCAAAAACCACTCCGATAAGTTATTATTGGTGAAATTATGAGACCATTGACCTTGCTCATTATTCTTCTCGAGAACAAATTTAGTTAGACTAGTATAACGGTCAACCACCGAACCACAATATGAACTCCAAGATTCGAACCTCTAACCTTAAGGTGAGAAGTTTGGTCAATATCTCACTGGATCACCCCACTCAATGGTACGCACACTTTACCTATACATCTTTTGATTACCAAGAAAAAAGTAAGTGACAGAAAAAAAAAAGTGAGAAATTTTGTAGTGTGTATAACACACCACGTGTTATTGTTAAGTGATATAAATCTCTAATAAGATATTTTACAATTTTAATGAATGATTGTTACTCATATGATATCTTATTATTGATCTACACATGGTATTATAAAAAAAATTGAAAAAAATTAATTTATATCTCACAAATCACAGATTAATATGTGATAATTTCTCAATATGTAAATCAATGGTGTGGGGGAGGGGATGTGGAGAAAAAGAGGGAAAGTAATTGGGAAGGAGGTACGAAAAGAGACAAGAAAGAATTTTTTTTTTTTTTTTGGGGAAGGGAATAACTTGTGATGATAATGAATTTAAGTTTGGATCTCTTTCTAAGCCCAAAATCTCTTGGCGGCTCATCAAAGAAGACCCAAAGGTCCCAAACACTCAGACTAGTCCACGACATGACTCCATAGGATGCCTAGAATCATTCAGTCCAAGATAGTCGTCAGCTTAATGTTAACAAGCTTGACTATAAGTGTCTGTTTGGAAATTTGGAGCTCGGCACCAAACAGATCTAAGACAACTCCTATTGCGCCACATGGATAGGAGACAAGGGAACAATACTTAATAACTCTAATAAACGAATGTTCACCATTAGTGGAGATACACATTCCATCCCAAGTGTAGTGGGCGTAGAAAACGTCAAGATAACAGGTTCAGCTACAGGACAAATAAGGAGGGGATTACAGAATCTGTCAAAAAAGGAATCACTGCGAAATCCTAATAATAAGATGTATAAATAGCAAACGATATCCTTGTATAAATGAGGGATAGATAAAAAGATAGGCAAGAGAGAGTATCAGGAGCAACCTTAAAAATAAAGGCTCTTAGCCAAACCATATGTAACAGCAACCTTCTTCCCCAAACCATTTGTAACGCACCCTCTGTCATAAGCACACATGAAGCCCCTCTGGGCCTCTTCTCATTGTAGTTGGGTAAGAAGATCTAGAGCACCATCAAGTAGAATATTTTTTGTTATCAGTCAATTTCACGTAAATTATTTCTACAATAATAAACAAACTTGGGTAGAAAATTGAAGATAAATTTGTTTAATTATGAGAGAAAATTTTCAATTACAAAACTTGAATTTAGGTTTTTATATGATTATTAAAATATCAAGGGTCATAATTAGAATGGCATGGTAACTTTGGTTTTGTGTGTATTTTTATTTTGAGTAGACACAGATGTGGAAGATGTAACAGATCAAATTTGGATTCTTCCTTAATAACGAAGTAGAGTTTTATGAATGAAAGTGTGTAAAATTGTTTGAGTGGAATAAACTTTATTCATATGGAGGCCGCTACAAGCTATCGCTAATTGATTTTTCGATACCGTACTAAAAATTAAAAGAGACAATTGATGAGATTCTCAAGCAATTGTCATCCTTAGATCACATTTAAGTTTAGTTTTTTGGGTTTTTCAATGAGTTAGTCAGTGACGCCCCTAAACCAGTAATTGCACAAAAAATTAAACATCATACTAATACAACTCAAGTTATAAGTACAACAATAGTGGCAAGTTGCAAACATATAGGGGGAAGATAAATTTAACTAAATTCTAAAGAGATCAGATTACAAGGAATTTATTCCTCATGAATACAATAATCTTGGCGTGGATAACCTATTTTTAACCAGACTAAAAAGGAAATTAGTTAAAATGTGCGTAAGTTGATCTAAATACCCTGACCGTTAAACCAAAAAATAAAGAAGATAAATCCAATAGTGGTGAATTTAGAGCAAATAGGATTAAAGGTATCAGTAAGTCAGAACATATAGCACAATCTTAGTCATAGTTACTATCATTTAAGATAAAGTTAGAGTGAACAATGACTTATTTTCTTTGAAAAAATATTTGAGTGTTTATAGAGCACACTTTTAATGCCTACACTCAATGAAATTTTGTCACGCGTCTAGCTTGTGGAATATACAAGTTAACTTATTTTTTTTTTAAAATTATGACAAAATAAAAGGCAACAATTATACATTAAACATGTAAAATTTTTTATTGGTGATATACGCCATGCAGCGCTTGGTGAGCACACAACACTTTCTCATTTTATTTGGTAAAAAACCAGCTAGTTTACCATAAGATGTCAAATCCTACCAACATATGATATCATAAGTGATTATGTCAGCATTTGAATTTAAAAAGTTCTCAAATGCCCGACGTGATTGAGAATTCAAACGGGTTAGATTTAGATAAACGAGTCGAACTGAAATTATTTTTTATGCTCGTTTACTAAAATGAGTTTAAAAGGCTCGGTTCAAGTTCTCAAAATTCAACTCGTTTATATGTAAAATAGTCGAATTATTTAAGTTCGACTTATTTTGGACTCGACTCGAGGTTGACTCATTTTTTAAATGAATCAAGTTTAAACAATTTTTTAAACTTGTTTGAAAAAATGAGTTCGACAGACTCGACTCAATTATCAACCTTACAAATCATAATGAGCTCTAATGGTTATGAAAATGTTTTGCGAGAGGCTTTCTTTTGTCCATGTCTACACTACCATTGCTTTGACAATTTTAATTTAATAGTTGAACAAGGATACTATAGAATGTCAAATCAATAAAAAAATCCATTTTTTAAACTTGAATTAATAATTACAATATAAATTTCTTAGATTAATAATTACAATATAAATTTTGAGTGTTATCAATAATTTATAAATTACAAGCATCAATTAAATACAATGAAAATGTGTAAATTCATGTCTTATTATGTATTCAATCTCTCAATTAAATCATACGAGTTAGGAGAGAGGAAAAAACTTAGATAGACAATAAGCATAAAATCTAAAAGATGTCGATAATAAAAATAATAAAAATCCTAAAGTACAATCAATTCTCATACTAAGAATTGTTTAGGTAACCCTAAAACGAGTTTGCTCAAATCAGCCTCTGTTGTGTTTGACCTTGTACCATCCTTTGTTGCCGCAATCACCCACAATCTTCCCACCCTTCTTGAAGAAGGTCGTTAGCTCCTTCGCTCTGTCTTTTCACTTGCTGCGCAAACCTCCCCATTATTTCTAAAGAGAGAAACATAATTGCTATTCTAGAGGGAGAATTTTAATTTCTCAAAATGGTATATGCCGATCTAATGTTATATATGGTGTGCGTAAGCTGATCTGGACATCTTAATCGTTGAACCAAAAAATAAAGAACATAAATCCAATGAAGGTCAATTCAGAGCAAACGGAATTAAAGGTATCAATAAGTAAGAACATATAGCAGTATCTTGATCATAGTTACTATCATTTAAGATAGAGTTATAGCGAACAATGACTTATTTTCTTTGAAAAAAATATTGAGTGTTTATGGAGCACACTTTTAATGCCTACACTCAATGAAATTTTGTCACGCATCTAGTTTGTGGAATATACAAGTTAACTCTTTTTTTTAAAAAAATTATGACAAAATAAAAGGCGACAATCATACATTAAACATGTAAAAAATTTTATTGGTAATATAGCGCTTGGTGAGCACACAACACTTTCTCATTTTATTTGGTTAAAAACCAGCTAGTTTACCATAAGATGTCAAATCCTACCAGCACATGATATCATAAGTGATCATGTCAGCATTTGAATTCATAAAGTTCTCAAATGCACGAAGTGATTGAGAATTCAGACGGGTTAGGCTTGGAAAAGACTCGACTTGAATTCGACTCGTATATTTTAAACGAGTTAAATTTAAATAATTTTTTAAACTTATTTATAAAAACGAGTCTAAAAGGCTTGACTCGAATTCTCATAACTCAGCTAGTTTATATGTAAAATAGTCAAATTATTTGGGTTTGAATTATGTTGAACTCAGACTCGAGTTTGACTCATTTTTTAAATGAATCAAATTTAAACAATTTTTTAAACTTGTTTAAAAAAATGAGTTTGACAAAGTCAACTCAATTACCAACCTTACAAATCATAATGAGCTCTAATGGTTATGAAAACGTTTTGCGAGAGGCTTTCTTTTGTCCATGTCTACACTACCATTGCTTTAACATTTTGAATTTAATAGTTGAACAAGAATGCTATAGAATGTCAAAGCCATAAAAAATCCATTTTTTAAAGATGAATTAATAAATATAATATAAATTTCTTAGTATTGTATGAGAAATCTCACGTACAATACACATACACACACTCATTCACCCATAAAAATTAAAAAAAATAATATGTAAAAAACTAAATTTGTGCAAAACTATATAACAAATTATTAAATTTTTTCCAAAGTGAGGCACTAAGTATGTGACTAAGGTTCCTAGCTAGTGGTTACTAGGGTTGGCATTTCAGTTGGGTTTGCCAAACCTATGAAGTGGGCTTATTGGTGCTTCTG